GGGGTCGATCAATGTTCTACATGTCAAAAGTAGTTTCACCCTCAAAACTGTTACAAATGCAAATTTGTGTCAACTGTTATTACATAAGCTTGAATATCAGAGGCCAAACTCAGATGAAGAATCATATAATTGTGAACAAGTAACCTTAGCCTTTCATGATGTGAAGTAGTATTACTAGGCCACGAGCAGCTAGACTTTTCTGGTTCCTTTCATATCTTTGGAGATTGCAGATCCCGAGCTCAGAGGTGTGACATCAAACAACATCCTTACTAATTCTTAATGTATGTGGAAACTATTTCAACAAATCTGTGTTGTGCAGTAATGATGTAGCAACACAAGAGTGTTTCAAGGTTTAATTAGTTAATGTGCGAAGAGTGCTTTGGGGATATAAAGCACTTTTTAAATCTTAAGCATTCTTGTACCTATGTGTAGGAAGTAACTAATTCATACGTCTCAACCTCCATCAGAGTCTTAATAAAATTAAAATCTTGAAACAGCTCACATTCCCACAGCAATGCACAAGAAATGTTTGATTTCTGGTTCTGAGAATGCAAAATGCACTCAGTTTTTCTTCTAGTCAGAAAAATCTTGAGCCTCACAGCTAGACAGGGAGAGATAAGAAATATGCTAATTGAAGTGCCTCCTTGAGCTGCAGTTGAAAAATCAGAAACATTTTTTTTTTAAACCAATAAATGTAAGGGTGACAGAAGCCATATTTTTGCCTTACACCACTGTTTTCTTCAATAAAATGCACATTTCAGCTCATCAGGAGTATTCTACAATTGCTGCCAACCAGTGTCAGTAGCCAATCTAAATCCATCAGCCAAACCATATTACTAGATACTGAATAGAAATTACTTCACATAGAAATTGAGCGTTTCTCACCACTTCATTATTCTCCCTCCCCCACTCTCTTAAGGAGGAGAGGATGATTGAATAATCTGGGTTTGCTGGGGTTGGCGACACACAAGAAACTGTAAGTAGCAGCAACATAAAGAACCCTTGTGAAACTTTATTTGAACCGCTCATTGGACAAGGGAAGGAGATGTGGGATCCAATCTATCATTCAAAATGACTCACTATCTCTAGCAAAGAGACCAACATTTAAAAAAGGCACAACACATTTTTGCCAAACTATTTTACTGTTATTATTGTATTTGCCTTTTGGCAATAAAAATAAGCCTAGGTGACACTAAAAATGATAAAGTTTTGTGAAAGTACGTTACAAATTTGTTCCTTTTGTGCTGAAAATTTCTTCTTTGATTTTAAAAAAAGCCCAAGTTGTGTCTAATGGTACAGCTGTGAATTTTCCCTGTCAAGGTTATAAAATAACTATACACTACAACTGTACTTTTACATCAATGTCCGCTCTGCTGATGCATTGTCAGGTGAGGAACCCACATAGCTGGATATATTACTAGTAATTGGTCAGGGACAGATCCTGCACATGGCTCTAGTCATGCACACCCCTGCATCCAGGCAGATCCATTTGCGGGGTCTAGCCCCACATGTTTTATTCTAGATAGTGTCACTGTACAGGAAAACTCTTTATTCTATTAGATCTACTACATCTTCTATACTGTACTCCATACGCAGTCATTTCAATAAAACACAGAAATGGTATCATATGAATAAGTTAGATGCCACTATATTATAAATGTGTGGGGGAGAGGGAGAGAGAAAGAGAAAGGAGAGGAAGAGAGAGAAAGAGAGAATTATCTGCAGTAATGACTTTTCTAATCATTTTCAACAATAATGAGTGAGTAGCAAGTCTACCAGCTGGGACTATTACAGTATTTCACTAGTACTTTGCTGACTCACAATGTGAATCTATGTAAACAACAGATTTTTCTTCTCCCATGGGATATCATATATTATTCTAGGCACTTAATTAGTACAGATATGGCCACTATGAAAAACCCTGTGGTAGACACGTATGGTGTAAGAACTTGTTATCACAACGCTATCATATTTTCTTCCCTCTTTTTTCCCTTTCCCCACATTTATTCATTCATGAGACTGTAAATAATTTTGCTATAGTTCAGCAACCAGCAATGCACAATGAATTCTATTTCCTGCCAAAATTCTGGCAGCAGGGATGTAACCTGACCGTAAGAAGCTTTGGACAAATAAATGTTGGGGAGGGCAGCAGAAAAGGAGAAAAAGAAGGAACGCATAGGATAGCATTGGATAGGTGTGGTGTAAGAACCTACCTATCTACCATTGGGTTTTTCATAGTGCCCACTGCTGTACTAAATAAGCACTTACAATAAAATGACTGAACCCTAATGAAAACATAAATTGACAGAGACTTGAAAAAATGAAGACTTGCTCTATAGTTCAATAAGTGTAAACTGATTGATTTACCATTAAACTATGGAGGACACTTTATTGGTTACCAATAAACATCCACTGGAAAATCCAACTGATCATTTTTTTGAAGTTTTCTGGATTAAATATATTCGGAAAGGCAAATGTAAATTGCTGTATGTTTCTTTGCATATTTGCTACAACTCTCCATTTAGGACTTCAGTTAATGCAATGATTCCAAATGACTATATTAAATATCACATTTCTTCAAATTTGCCCCAAAATCTCTCTCTCACACAATAAAAGTAGACTACAGGCTCAAAGAACAGTTGATCCTGCAGATTACTGGGCACTCTGCCCCAATCCAAGTTCTTAAATGCTTTGCTAAACCAGGGACAGCGTGCTAAAATGCTGCAGATCAAACCCACAGACAGAATCATGTGCTTCCCACGTGTTCACACTTGTGGGAACTGAAGCCCGAAATGTTATCATAAACTGCTATTTCTTCAGGTTTCTCTAACTGATTCAAGAGGTATCATAGAATCATAGAATATCAGGGTTGGAAGGGACCTCAGGAGATCATCTAGTCCAACCCCCTGCTCAAAGCAGGACCAATTCCCAACTAAATCATCCCAGCCAGGGCTTTGTCAAGCCGGGCCTTAAAAACCTCCAAGGAAGGAGATTCCACCACCTCCCTAGGTAAAGCATTCCAGTGCTTCACCACCCTCCTAGTGAAATAGTGTTTCCTAATATCCAACCTAGACCTCCCCCACTGCAACTTGAGACCATTGCTCCTTGTTCTGTCATCTGCCACCACTGAGAACAGCCGAGCTCCATCCTCTTTGGAACCCCCCCTCAGGTAGTTGAAAGCAGCTATCAAATCCCACCCCATCATTCTTCTCTTCTGGAGACTAAACAATCCCAGTTCCCTCAGCCTCTCCTCATAAGTCATGTGCTCCAGACCCCTAATCATTTTTGTTGCCCTCCGCTGGACTCTTTCCAATATTTCCACATCCTTCTTGTAGTGTGGGGCCCAAAACTGGACACAGTACTCCAGATGAGGCCTCACCAATGTCGCATAAAGGGGAACGATCACGTCCCTCGATCTGCTGGCAATGCCCCTACTTATACAGCCCAAAATGCCATTAGTCTTCTTGGCAACAAGAGCACACTGTTGACTCATATCCAGCTTCTCGTCCACTGTGACCCCTAGGTCCTTTTCTGCAGAACTGCTACCTAGCCATTCGGTCCCTAGTATGTAGCAGTGCAAAGGATTCTTCCGTCCTAAGTGCAGGACTCTGCACTTGTCCTTGTTGAACCTCATTAGGTTTCTTTTGGCCCAATCCTCCAATTTGTCTAGGTCCCTCTGTATCTGATCCCTACCCTCCAGCGTATCTACCACGCCTCCCAGTTTAGTGTCATCTGCAAACTTGCTGAGAGAGCAGTCCACACCATCCCAACAGATGTGTTCTGTTTAAAGAAAAAACCCCAGTATAATATGTTAGATATTCTGTTCAGTATATCCAGTTATAAGGAAGACAAAACGAACAAAAAAAGAACAAGAAATAAACAATCTGAGAGGAAGCTGCCATCTTAACATTCTGATAATACAGAATAGGACTGAACGTCAGCATCACCATTTGATAGCACTAGAAATCAGAGTTCATAGCAGTTGCAGGGACTTTTCCTTCTTTTATGTCTGAAAACCACCAGTAGGCATGCACGTTCATGGCATTGTATAATATAATTAAAAAACATACCTAGGGTGACTACCTAAAAAAGTATCCACAATAATATAGAACCTACCCCTATAGTTACAGAACTTATCTTTCTTCTTTGAAGTTTACAAATTTCCAATGCTTTTAAGTAACGAAGCTGCACTAGATCAAACTGGACCACCTGATATAAAGCGTCATTAAGACAGCGACCCCTCAGAGATAGGCAGCAGCAACGTTTACTGCTTACTTCAACAGCTACAGGTGTTTCTAAAAACAGCTTAAAAATTGATGATGTCTACATGGTTAGAAACCAATCCTGTAAGCTACTTCAAATGTGCAGGCCCTTGCTACCACATGGAGTTACTTGCAAGGTCAGGGCCTTCGTCAGTAAATATTTAATTACACACATACACTAATTAAATATTTATTGTCTAAGGCCCTTATCTTGCAAGCTATATATCTAGATATAGAGATAGAAACAGAGTTTTCCCTTAATGAGTAATATGGAAGTTTCCCTTAAGGAAGCAATATGACAAAACAAAACCCCAGATCCAAGCACCTTCAAAGTTTGGATCTGGACTGAGATCTGAACTTCACAGTAGCTCTTACCTCTATAATAGGCCAACCAAAAATCCCATATCCAAAAATCTTAGAACTCCAGACATTCAGATCTGAATTTAGCATCTCAGAACATACCGATTTTAAACATAACTAATAATTAACTGGGTCTTGTAGGCAACAGGAGACATTGTGTCCATTGTCCTCTTTCTCGTTAGCCCAGAAAAGTTACTGCCTTGTTCCTGTAAATTTATCCTCCCAAAGGAACAGCACAGGTTGGTTTATAGAGAACATTGTTTACAAGCACAGGTTTATGTAAGTAGCCCGTGCCATCAATTAAAGAGGCGTGGTTCATTACAACATATCCCCAAAATGACCCAATGACTACATTCCATTCAAGCATGTGCTGCTTACCTCTGCAAACGCTGCAGCACTGGTTCTCTGGAAGAATGTGATCTTTTTCTGAGCAGTTCAATGGAGGACAGGTCTCTGTTACTTTTACTAAAACTCCATTCTGAAAATAAATAAATGTTTTAAAAAAATGACACTGATGAAAATGTATCTGACAGCAAGGGTCACACAGTTTTCTATCCACAGCTCTAGCAATCTTTACTAACAACAGTAGTAAAGTGACAGGCAGCAAGCTAAATTCATTTTTTACACTATAAACTCAAATCTAAAATTAATCTACTTGGACATTTCTATTCCAATAGTTTAAGGAAAAGACACTACATTTAAACTCAATCTTATACAGCTGCTTTTTCCTTTCTTAAGCTGCATAAGCACTTGTAGGAATTAAAGTATTTTATTTCACTCCAGATTTTTATTTAAGAAATTTTTTCTGCTTTACATGAGACTTGTTTGTTATCTTTTAGGTATTTTAAATTCTGTATACTGTGGTGATAGGTGAATTACCAATGAAACAAAGTAGAGAGATTAGATGGCCAAGATTTTCAAATGTGACCAGTGATTTCAGTGCCTCAGTTTTGGGCACCTTAAAGGGCCTGATTTTCAGCAGTGGAGCTTGGGTGGCACTACTGCTGCCTCATTCCTCTCTGCTGCTCCCGGCAGGCCAGGAACTGGCAAAGTGAGGAAGACAGAGAAGCCACCTGGCTGCCTGCTGGCCCAGCTGCAGCTCAAGGCATCCAGCTTCCTGATGCCTTGCTGCATGTTTGACATACAGCCTTGGCTACTGGACCTCATTGAGGGAGCAGGTTTGCCAGCACCATTGCCAACTGTCAGTTTTATTATAAGTCTCACCATATTCGGTGTTTTTCTTAATGGTTCAGATGCTGGAATCAAGAGATTACATGAGGAACTCAGCTTTCTTTTTTTTAAAAAAATGTTTCTAGCCCTCATGGTTACAGATAAAAGCTTGAAAAGGTGACCTCAGTTCACCCTAAAGGCTCAGCAAGAAGGTGGCAAATAACAAGACCACCAAAAATTACTTTTAATAAATCTCATGATTTTAGGGCCTGACTCATGATTTTTGAAGGCTTGAGGCTGGCAATACTAGGCCTACAAAGTGCAAGGTACACAAGATGTGGGACAACGGGCAGGACTTGTAAAAGAAAGAGCAAATTTACTCCAGCAGAGGCAAGAAATGGAAAATTTTGGACGCCTCAGCCCTGACCTCCTTTGGTTGAGAACTGCCGAGTCATTTCTCTCTGCTACCCAGTTATACTTTATTAGCCCATAGGCGTCAACTGCGGTGTTCAAATGTAAGGGGACACATGCTTCAGTGGAGGCAAAGAGGAAAGGCATCCTGCAGAGGATACAGCACATGCCATGTTATGCGGGTGCCCACATGAAAAGAGTGGAATTAACCGACATTAGGACTGATTCTCATCCCACGTTCACTGGTGTAAAGCAGGAATCTCACACGGGAGTCAATGGAGTTACACCAGCATAGGTGAGAAGAGAACCAGCAAACTGAGTGATCACTGTCAATCATTTTATCAAACTACCCAGCTGGAAAGGTATTGGCTATAACTCACCACCTATTCAAGATCGGACAAAACAATTACAGTAGGAAAGGTACAGTATACTACTGTACGAACAGCAAGTGCTGATAAGTCAGGTCAAACACACGGCAAGAAATCAAGAGAGACTATGACAATCAAATCACTCAGAAAAAGCTCAAAACCAATTCAAACCAAACTCATGTCTCCATTAGAGAATCACTGAAAAGAGATGAAGTTAAGTCTGACCATAGTTGCTTCGTGTCAACAACAATTTTGTTTCCAAAAATTTCCCCATTTTCTGTGACTGGTGACCTTGCACCCTAGAGAGAAGAAGCTCACCTATCCAGGAGTTCATTTTGCCTTATTTCTATAGTAAGAAAATGTTTAAACAAGCACTTTGGGGTTAAAATCTGTTGGCATAAAGTGATGTCGCTCCATTAATATAAACTGACATTAAATTTCAGATTTAATCCACTGAGGGCCAGTAACTTTTCAGAGAACAAACATAGGCTTCCTTCACATGAAGAGGCGCTACTCAACAGAAGTGCTGTGGATCACTAGAATAAGGCCCCAACCCACCAAAGCATTTAAGCACCTTCTTAAGTTTTAAACATGCGAGTAGTCAGGGCTTAAATAAAGGCCAGAAACTTTTAGTTACACTTGTTCAAATCCAAAGTAACTTCAGGGACTTAAGCCAATGTGGCTGAGATCAGAATCTTGCCCTAAAATGACACCTCTTCCTACAACCCAGGTAAGGAGCAAAGAGAAAGGAGAATACCCTCCTAAGTCACTTTATTATCCTAAATAGGCCATGTTCCAGCTTTGTCTGTGTATGTCTGGCTTCCACTGAAGTTATGGTCAGAGTTAGAAAAGAATGGATAACACATATGCATGAAGGAAGCCTAAAGTAATATACCAGGTTATCATTGTAATTTATGGGCACTGCATATTTATTGAAACAGTAGAAGTTAATAAAATTAAAACTTACTCGGCATTCCCTGCAGCTCTTGGTTAAAATCCTCTGACCTTCTGCTAACACTCTGCCTCCAAAGATGCACTTAGCTATAATTAAAAAAAAAATCCCCAAAATTAATATTTTGGTAGAAAGTGACTGCAAAATATAAATAAAAGTAAAATCAATACATATACACATAGGCAAATACGGGCCTACTGTGGTAAATATGATGTAGTCCCTCTGCCTTCACTTGAAGTAAGTGTTGATTGTTTTCATTTATTTTGAGTGCAATAGTACATTCATTAAAAAAAACTATTATCGTGAAACATTATACCCCTCATACTGACAAACTAGCCTATTAATGCCCTGAAGTGATAACAAGAATAAAGCATTATTCAGTAGATACTGAACCCAATTCATTAACAGAATCACTCACAGCATAGACTTCCCATTCGTTAGATAGAGTGCATTTGTATTACTATATGTCTGCATCAGGTTATTCAAAGCACTTCAAAATCAGACAGACAGACATTGGTGCATTGTATGTCAAGAGACTGGCAGGTGCATGGGTTTCAGTTAAGCCTCCAAACTGTACCTGGGGACAAATGAGAATAGAATCCTTAACACAGCTTTGTCCCTGAGAAACTGCAGAAATGGTTCAGAACTAGTCAAAGCCTGAAACTCACTGACTCTACAAACTGAAAAAAATCACTGTCAGAAACAGTCTGAACAGACAGATGGAACAAGGAGGGCTCATGCCAAGGCTCAAAGGAGGGACAAATACAGCCTGCAACACTACATTTTGGACTAACTTTTGGAATGGATTGCATTGGGATGTGACCCTAAAAATCTCTTTATTGTTCCCCCAGCCCCCAGATTCCTAATTGCAGATATTTACACCTTCCTTCTGTTGCGCCTAGAGCTGTCTGTCAAAATAGCCTCTTAAAAGCTCCCATATTCTATAGCAAGGAGGCAGCTTTCTAGACTGAATGGGGATTCTCCAATATCACTCTAAATCAGAAATAGCTAGATCCAGAGTCCTAGGAAGGATATTCTAGTGAACAAAGCATTCAACTGGGTCTCAAAAGACCTGGGTTCAATTCTCAGCTACAGACTTCCAGTGTGATCTTGGGCAAGTCACTTAATCTATCCTGTGCCTCCATTTCCCAACTGTAAAATGGGGATACTACTTCCTACTTTACAGTGAAGTCGTGATAATAAAATCCATGAGTAATTGTGAGATTCTCCGATACTATTATGATGGGGATCAAATAAGTACATTAGAATTGATAGACTAGCATGACGGATTAGGGGAAACTTTGAGATCCTAGTATGAAAGACAAATTATCATCATCCGTGCTGAGCAACATCATGTGTTCCTCCACTCCAAGTTGTAGGAATTCAACAAACCAGTTCATCCTGACCACAAATATCATCTTGGCTCATCACTGTCACTGTAGTACTAAAGACTCATGGATAAACTAGCTTCCAATCCAAGCATCATGAGAAGGTCCCTGTTGCCCAGGTCTAGGTTTCCTTCTATCTGCTGACAGAGAATTTCTTTCCAATTCTTCTGAGTAGCAAACAAAACAATTTGTGGCACACTCATGGCAGCAGGGAACCTGGAATTCCATGTACTATTAATTTTCACTCTCACAGGTGCAACCGATACCAACTAAGCCAGCTGGCCTGGTTATGCAACCAACTGCTAAATACACCACTGTTAACTCCAAGTGACACCTCTCTGTCTACGCCAGATGTTTCTCCACTGCTGTGAAAAGACATTTCTTTCATCATCCTCTTGCTCTGTGTGCCAGCCTTATTCTTTAAGTACACAACTGTAGCCAGCCTGCAGGACACATGCTCAGTTCCTTCTTAAATCTTCCAATCATTTTATGGAAAACTGTTCCACAAATATATGCCCAACCTGTCAGGCTGCCATCCGTGCAAGTGTCTGTATATTTGATGGGTCCAAATTTCCTTCTTGTCTGAAGATTCTGAGAGGACTCTCACCAAATTAGAGGTGATTTTACAATCTGAGGAACACACAGGAATGTCGCAAGGTCCTGTACACCTCCCTTCCAATGGGATAACATTGGTACCCAAAATAAACATACACAATTTGACCAACAATTCTAGGTCCACACACATACACAATGTTAAGAGGCCCACTGTTCTCACACTACTCTCTATATCACTGGTGAAGCCCATGATTCTTGTCTTATACTGATATCATTCTTTTCTGTGCATTGGACAGTGATCCAAAGTCCCATCATCAACTCTCTTGAGGAATGACTAGCGAAGTATGGCCTGCATCTACTCTATTGCACTGGTTGGGGACCTAGAGTCCTATGCAATAAGTCAGTAAGACTTGACATTTGTCTATAGAACTGAGAGATATGTGTTGCTTCTCAATGAAGCCATTTACGGCACATCCAGTAATGGTCCTTCCTCACCTGCCTTCTTCAATACTGCGATGACAATTGTATATTTCCCTTGCTTCTGGTGCCAAAGAGGTATTACATAATAAATTACTTTTGATTTTTGTTGCACTTTCCATCCAAATATCTCTAAATGCTAGAATAACCCATAAAGTCTTTCAGACACTATCCTGTCTCCCAGAGTTCTTTCTCTGTGTTCATATTGCTGGAAATGGGAGAATCTAAATAATTCTCACCATACGCAAAGCAGCCAGATTTTCTAAAGAACTCAGCTTCCACTGTGAGAAGCTGGGTGCTGAGCACTTTCAAAATCCACCTCATTTAGGTATCCAAAGAGGATGCAGACGGTTCTTTTGAAAATGTGGCCCTAGCTTTATATTGCTCAGTATGAGCTCAACTGTGATCTCACTTCAGAAAAACACACTAGATGGCATCAAGATGACTGTTTTGGGAAAGATGAACTAGAGTGATGTACTTTTACTCTTTCTCTATTGCCTCACCTGACTGCCTGTAGCCCAGGGCTGGACTTACACTGGACAGAAGAGAAAGTGAGGAATTTTACAACAGAAAAGAGACACCGGGCTTCAAATAAAGTTTTAGTCTTCTTGCCTTAGGCCTGGTCTACACTTACCCCCCAATTCGAACTAAGGTACGCAACTTCAGCTACGTGAATAACGTAGCTGAAGTTCGAAGTACCTTAGTTCGAACTTACCTCGGTCCACACACGGCAGGCAGGCTCCCCCGTCGACGCCGCGGTACGCCTCTCGTATAGCTGGAGTACCGCAGTCGACGGCGATCACTTCCTGGTTCGACTTATCGCGTCCAGACAAGACGCGATAAGTCGAACCCAGAACTTCGATTCCCAGCCGCCGGCTGGGTGTAGACATACCCAAAGGCTGGTTTGGAGAGGTTAACACAAGATGGCAGAGAAGAAAGCAGAAACACCAATTTTAAAATCCCTAAACATTTTATGTGTGAGAACTGCTTGGTACTATGATACAAAAAAAGAACCATCAAGCTGTTCAATAACTCCTAGAGACAGAAAATTACAATTAATGATTCTATCCAGTACTAAATGAGGAAACTGCAGAGAAATCAACACCCGCAGTGTAATAATGTGGATAGCCTCAGTGGCTGCCACTACATACCCAAAAATGACTAACTGTGGCCCTCGCATATCATTCTGTCAAGGAGCTGGCACTTACAATCAATTTCAATCAACTTTCATACATCTTTTTCCATTGACTGACATGCTGAGTCCTTGTCAGAATAACAAGCTGAGTTTGGTGCCAATCACTGACTAAGAGTGAGCTTGTTCATCTTTCCATTAAAGAATCAGAAACAGTCTACACTTTGGGACTTACATTTAATCTACAGTTTAGTCCTTCAGAATTCCTCTGAGCCAAATTTTGGCTGGGATTTGTTGCTAAGTGAACATCAGAAAAGACAGAGCCAGAGAGAGATGCTCAAGCTCTCAGATCCATGAAAAGAACCCTTCACAAACTCTCAGCAGGTGAATCACAAGTACTTGTGTTCTGGGAGGTGAAAGTTAGGAGTCGGGGCCTGATCCACAGGTTTTACAACATAAATTATTTGTCCTTTTGTGCACAGATTACTCATGGGCCAGGGTATAATGGAGGGAAAGGTGTGAGCTGTGCACATGTTCATGACTAGGCAGAATAGGTGCACACTTTTTTTGACAGGATTCATGGATGTCCATTTGGAATTGAAGGGGGAATTCAAAGAGTGACAATCTGATTTTTTTCTGGGGGGGACGGGGTTAGGGTTAGGGTTCTAATTAATCCTAAATCAGCCAACAGCTACATCATTGACTAGTCTGAATGGAGAAGAGCTGTGCCCAGAATGTGTAGGTTGGCGAGATAAGGAAAAAAGGTCTCACTTTTTCTTCATACGTGAGAGCAAGAAGAAATTTAGTCCTGTGTACTTGAACACACACATGCTCAATTGATTTTGTCCCTCAGCCCCATTTAAGTCCGGAGTGTTAAACACTTTTTTCACATAGGACTTCCATTTGCAGATGAGATAAGAGAATTTCATCACTTGAGCCAACTACAGAATTTACTGCTCATCTTCTTTTCCACATTCATTTGGTCTGAAATAAATTACATAAACTACTACTGCACACAACATAGATCATTACAGGCTAGATAAGACCATGAATTTTCCTTATTCTGCTGATTACATCATTTTATTTAAAAAAAACTACAATATCCAAAGAACCACCTTCAGTTCAGAACAGGATGACAAATACCATAAAGAGGGGTAATAACTTAAAGTTTGGTTAAGTACGGACCAACTGCTTCACGCTAATTAACATCAATTGGGTTTAACAGCTACTAGTAGAAGCCAGACATTTTTCCTTTGGCGATGTACAAACAAGGGCATGGCCTTTTTAATGCCAATAGAATGCAGCAATATAGTCTTAGAAACATGCAGTACTGCATTGTATCTCTAGGTGATTCTTTTATTTTTCAGCCAATAGTTATTTATTCATTTTTTAACCAAAGCTGCCACTATGACTCATGTTCCCTGCATTAATTTATTGGGACCTGTGAAAAATCAAGGGGGAAAACAAATCAGCTGCTCCTAGTTTCAAGACAAGTGTGATTCCAGTTAAAAAGAAGGTGGGAGGAAAATATCAAATGTGATGTACTTACACCTGCATACTTTGCAGCACTGGCCTCCCATATGCACTGGGAGGGTGTCAGGAGAACAGTTCAGAGGGGGACAGGACATCCTTCGGCACTCCACTACTCCACTCTAAGCAAAGGTTAGAAAGATGAAGTTCAGATGTGTGTGTGTATTAGTTTATATTTTATATAAAGCACAAATACTGTACCAGAAAATAAAAGTAGCATTAAAGATTTCAAATCCTTCCTACAGCAACAAGTCTTATCTGACTGCTACCCATATGAATTAAAGCCACCCCCATTACCATTTTGATATACATCTTTGTCTTATCCCACTTGTGCGTGCTATTTACGTGGATTAGACAAAAAATAATACCATCTTTACAAGAATATAAACACCACCTTTTGCAGGCTGTCAATCATCTTCAAAATTTTAACAATCAGTTTTCTATTTTCTCAGGCAAACAAAGGCTCTCTTCAGATATCTATCAAATAATTTCAACCAGACAAGACTTACATACTAATTCTCTTCTGTTCCACAGGTTTTCAAAATGATAAACACCCAAAACAGAATCTGCATGTTGTTACCATGCAGGATGCAATTGAGCACCGATGAATAAAATTAAGATAATACTTTTTTTCTCTCTCTCTCTCTCACACACACAATCCAGTGAAACTATTCTGAACCAAACAGAGACAACACCATGATTTCCCACCCTCCACCCCTGCAAAATGGTGAGCTTCTTCCAGATATAATTAGAACAAATGAGAGAGTTGTCAAGGGAAAGCAGATTTTATTTACTAAGTATTCATATAAGAAATGGCAATTCTTTGCTACTTCTTTCAATTGTTCACATTACCATTGGGTGCAAACTAAAAAGAT